TGCGTGGAGCAGATCTCATGTTGAACATCACTGTGAAGTAAGAACTGCTTTGACCCTTAAAGCACCTTTACACTGCTGAGCTAAGGCTGCTCTGAGCCTGCTCAATTCTGACTATTTCACATGAAAGCCAGTCCAAATCCTATAGTTCTGACCCACCTCAGCCCCTAATAACATTCGGAAAATCTCAGAATCGATGCTGAATCGCGATGCATCGATTTATTTTCCCAGCCCTAGTTTAAACTAACCACAACCTCTCTGACTCGAAGCTGTGTTATTTTAGTAGCAAAGATACTAGTATAGTTTTATTAATACTTTCAGTTAGATTTTATTTTTATATTTTGTTTTCATTTTAATTTTAGTTAATATTTTAGTAATAGTGTTTGTCTTTTTAATTTTTTTTATTTTTTAACTCCCCTTCATTTAGGTACAATGGTGAAAAATCAACTACCAACATGGTTATCGTGAACATGAAACTCTTGTCGGGTTTCACAGCAGATATGTCACTGGTTCGTATGTTTTATGGTGAATTGTATGTAAAGTCTTAAGATGCTTGAAGCTGCTTCACATGTTAATGGACATTTTCCCCTCAACTTGGATCTCCACCAGATTCATTTGCTCAACTTGGATCTCCACCAGATTAATTTGCTCCATTAGTGCAGCGGGTTGATACTGGAGATGACCATGTGCTTGTGTATCTGAAAGAGGTGAGATGTGCACTGGGTATGTTCTCTATTTGCCCCCTTCATGTGTGCTGCATATGTACTTCTCTTCATCCCTTCTGTCTCGCAGGTTCCCAAGGGCGTCCCCATGACCTACAGGCTACAACTGAAACAGGTTCTTGCAGTGCAGAATCTCAAGCCAGCGGTCGTTGAGGTTTATGACTACTATCAGCCAAGTATGTTCGGTAACTCGTGCTTTTGGCTGAATTTCCTGTTGCTCATGCATGTCAAGCTCACTTCCTGTTCCTTTCACTTTCAGGTGATGTGTTTGAGACCACATACATGCCTCCCTGTCCATGATTGTGCTTCATTTCTGGCTATAGGATGCATGAATGAAATAAAAAAATAAATAAAAAAAGTTTTTTTAAATCATTGCTTGCCTCGTTGAAAATTTGACGTGTTTGAAGCTGGACATCTCAAACTTGCACGGTTCATGAGGTTCTTACATGGTTAATGACTACTTTTAATACAATGGCTTTTAACTTGGGCTGTGAGTGCTCTTGCTTTCCATATGTCTTGCAGGTCAAATTTCTTTTCTTTATAACCTACTTGTGCAAATTTGTCTTTTGCAAAAACCAATATCTTTAGCAAATATAGTTTCCAGTTTCAGGGCTCTGTTTTAATGAAATGAAAATACTGAATCAAAATACTATATTGATGCTAAAATAGCACTGCAGCTGTGATTGGTTCGTTCAGTCCGTAAGAATCCACCTGCCAGCCCAGAACAGCAGAATCCAGTGGCCTGGTCGAAGGTTTAATGCATATTCGGTCTTTTACTTGCACTTTAGAATTTATCAAGACTTGGTTTCAATTTTAGTCTAGCTCCGTGTTCAATCTGACTCATTTCAAGTGATCAGTTTTTAATGAGAAACATTGCTTAACTTTAATCACAAATGTTGATTGTATATTAAGATATTTGAGTATTCTGGAAATCCCATACTTTCAATTATTCGTTCATTAAGAACCTGACATCGCTTAGAAATTCACTCAACTGAACGCACGGATACAAACTCGCCAGTTCTGTGACTTACTCTGAGGATACAGGGTGATTATACCTTTTAGGAGCCGAACCCTGCTAGCAAATTTTTATTTTTT